AGTCTCCAGTTCACACTTGGATTCCAGCAACTAATCAATACCCCTTTAACATTCTTACTAGTGTCTGGACTCCAGCAGAAGTTCTGCTTGCAGTGAACTGTGATTCTGTATCATCTGCACTTTAGTTTTAGGTGTCCTATTTCCCTATGACCCCCATTCTCTGATGGACCTAAAGCATATTGCCTATGCTATTTCCCTGTGTATTTAGGCACATACAAAGTGATTTTGGCCAGTGGGTTTTGTTTTTGTTTTTGTTTTGATGAAAAATAAAGTGTTGGGCCTAAAAGAGTTCCCTTTGCCAATATTTTTAGACTCTTACATCTCTATTATTTTATAGAAATTTGACAAAGGCTCATTTCATAGAGTAGACCATTGAATGAGAGAAATTGCAATTTTAAGGGACTCAACTTAAATGGAGTCTATGTGCTTTGAAAGTAAAACTATTTTTACCTAGTGTAATTTTAAATGGAAGTATACTTTACTTAATCACTACTTTTAGTGTTCACTCAAAGGACAGTAGTATGACATCTGCTTTTCTCTCATTTGATTCTGTATCTCCTATGATGGAGACATCATTCTAGACTGGAATATATTGTTGGGCAAAACAGTGAAAGACTTCTGATCTTGTTTATACATTGTGGCAATTAATAGTAGGAAATGGTCATCATGAAAATGTAAGCTCTGTGAAATGATTGAAAGTAAAGGAAGGCATGGAGGGTGCAGAAACTGAGAAGAGCACAGGGCAGGCACGGGTTATCATTTTAAGCAGGACATTTAGAGTAGATCGCATGGAACAGGCAATGTTTGAGTGGACTTCAAGAGGAAGTGGGGTCTGCCATGAACATATCTAGCCAAAGGACCTACAGGTAGATGAGACAGAGCATGGCAAAGGAAAAGGATTGGTGACATGAGCTCAGAGAGAGGGCAATGAGTTAGGGCAAGGCATCTTAGCAGATGAGATCAAAGTGGTACCGAAGACCAGGTAAGGACTTGGATTTATTTCATACTGTGGTTCTATGAACAGATGGTAGATATAATCATTTTAACACCTAAAAAGAATATCTGGCTACTCTTTTGAAATCTGGCATTATGGAGACTCGTTGGGAAGACTTGCAACTAACCAGGTAAGAAATGATGTGACACAGACAAGAATTGTCTTGATTAGGGTGGGGTTCCTCAGTTAGTTGAAAAAGAGGAAATTTGAAGGTGTCTCTGGGATTGGTAGAATGAAGAAATATAAAGAAGATGGAGAAAGAATTGGATAATGTTTGCTTTGTGGGGAAGGGCAGACTTTACTTCAAGAATTTTAATTTTGAGCCACCTACTATGTGTGCAAATAGAGATCTTAAATAGAGACGTGGAATTGAGGGGAGTTACTTGGCTAGAACAGTAGCAGATAGATGCTATTTAAAGGCATAAACACGTAAGTTATAGAGAACTGTAGGTGAAGGGTGTAAATAGAGAATGACAGCCACGACACTTTAAAAGGCATGTGTATGTGAGCAGTGGGTGGTGTGGAAAGAAAAGAAACAAAAAAAGTGAGAAAAATCATACAAAAAAAAGAGGAAAATAGATCTAAGTGGAAGGAATCAAACTGCTTTGTCCAATGCTGTTGGTATATTATGAAAAATGATACAGACTAGCATCACTTCAGAAGAGTTAGAAATCCAAGGACCAACTCACAGCAACTTTTTATTATACTCACAGATTAGGGCGTCTCGCAACTCTCATCAGAGAAACTTCATTGTGCAGCAGATGGAGACTAACACAGAGACAAGTAACTGGCCCAAGTGTAGAGAACAAGTGACTGTGGAGTCCTCAGCCCTACATAGAGACATCTATATCACACCCCTTCCTCCCATAGCTTGGGGACCATTGCTGAAGAGGATGCAGGAAGACTGTAAGACCCAGAGGCAGTGGGTGGCTACAAGGAAACAGTGCTTTCTGCACACAGTTGGGCAGCTGTCATATGAAGGCACAGCCATTTTGACAGCATGCATACAGCCTGTGCAAACTCAAGCCAACCCAAATCATAACACAGAGATGGAGGGTGAGCATGGAATCTCATCTCTGGCCGAGGAGCTATCAGTAATTGATGGCTGCTGGGAAAGAGAAATTCAGTTTTCTTTTAGCGTTTTGGCTTCTTGCCGCTCTAATATTCTCTACTGGATGGCCATACAGCCAACTATATATAGGCAGCCCTAATTTGACTTGATGGATTTTTTTTTTTTTTTTTTGGTTTTTCGAGACAGGGTTTCTCTGTGTAGCTTTGCGCCTTTTCTGGAACTCACTGGGTAGACCAGGCTGGCCTCGAACTCACAGAGATCTGCCTGCCTCTGCCTCCCGAGTGCTGGGATTAAAGGCGTGTGCCACCACCGCCCGGCGACTTGATGGATTTTTAAAGAAATATATAAGGACACAAAGTTGGCTGGATATGGAATAGGGGATGAGTATGGGAATAGATAGGGGGTTGAACATGATCAAAATGCAATGTATGAAAACCTTGAATTGCTAAACAAAAAAAAAACATTTAAAAAAAGAAATAGAAGTACTGTAGATAGGTGAGTGATTGGACACAGAAAATTTGAACACAGGGGTTAGGCAGCTTGGCCTGAGATTTCTTCAGAGCCTGTGGCAACCTCCAAAAGTAAGAAAGCTACTTTTTGCACACTGCACCCACTATGATGCAACATAGGTAAGGACCTGGCTTGCATTATGGCCCTGATGTTCTGATGCAATAATTCAGAGATACCTCAAAATTCCAAATGACATCTAGTCTACCAATCTCTCGTTGTTTCTGTATTTAAAGAATAGTATGAAACCAAAATGGCCATCTACAGCTTGTTCTAAAATGCTGAAAACTGGCCATTTTTATTTAATTAACAAGGTTTTAGTTTCTAAAACTGCATGGATTTAAGAAGTTCATGACATATATTCTTATAAGCTTTATAAAATGAACTGAAAAATAAGAGAACTTGAGATATATTTTTCCTTAGAGTTCTCCTCTTTGTTATTTCTTGTTTTAAATGAGCCTATAAATTATATAGCACTTAATTATAGAGGTCACCACTGATTTAACTTTTTTGCTTTTAAATAAAACAATATTTTTATGCTATGTCATTATAAACTCTATTATAAAGAATATATGTGATATGACACACATTATATGGGTTGTATTTTCAGAGGCTGAATAAATGGTTAATGATAAAAATAACATGTAATGGTGTACAAGAAAAATATTTTCTAAGCTCTCATGAAAGTATTTTCTAAGCTCTCATGTTTTTAATTTTCAAGAACATAGGTAAAGTGTCTGATGTGGTGTCACATGTCTATAATGTCAGCTCTTGGGTAGAAGAGGTAAGAGGATCATTACATGGTGAGGCCTGTCTGGAATATACAGTGAGTTCCAGGTCATCAGCCTTGGCTACAGAGTTAGGCCCTGTCTTCAAACAAACAAACACCAATAAGAAACCCCATAACACACAGCTCTACCCAATTCCAACTAACCTACTCCCCCTCAAAAAACAATAACTAACTGAACAACCAAACAAGAACACTGACTTACAGTAACTAGAGACAGGGGGGAAACAATATGAATTTAAGAAAATGCTTATAAAACTTGTGTTAGAAAGGTGTCAAAATATATGCTGTTATAAAATCATTTTTAATTTGAGAATATTTGTAATAATATTTTGAGATTACAATCTGGAGAACAATTAGGTACTATGAACACAATGTTCTAAGTGACTCTTAAATCTCAAAGAGTTCTTAGAATAGCAATTCACTTGTTCTCAGTGACACAGTTATGTTTACTATATGTATTTTTTGACTGTGACCCACCCTATAACAGCATTTCTATTTAGGAAAAATATAGCACTGGTGGAAAAAAGTTAACGTTGACATTTAAAAAACATCTGTCTTTAATGCCATGCTTAAAGTATATTACTTTTTGTGGGCTTTTTTGTTATGTTGTTTTACCCTGAAGGATAAGATTTGTATAATGGTTATATTTGGGGCCTTACAAATGAGCTTTGCCTAAATTATCAGACTGGTTCCTATAATAGTTTTACAAATAATTCCTTGGTCTCAAAATCATGACTTAAAATATAATTTTATCAAATAAAAATCAAATAAATAACTTATCAAATAATAAGACTCTCACACATAACTATTTATATGCTTTATATGTATGTATGATACATGTCATAAAGTATATGCACACTTGCAAGAATGAGTAACATTTGAGTCAGGGGAGTGATTACTGTAGCAGGAATCTTAAAAGGTCTTATTAATTAAGTCAAACCTAAGGCCAGTTATTGGGGTGAATGCTGGAAGATCAGAGAAGCAGAACAAGTCACAGCTACCTCCCCTCACAAGTTCCTCAGCTGATCCTGTTTCCTCAGACTGGATGCCCCTGAGTCCTCATCCAGAATGAATCTCAGCTGAACTGCTGCTCAAAAGCCTAAATGCTTAACCAGCCAAATGCTTCTAGTTTCTGGTCTTCACACCTTATGTATCTTTCTGCTTTCTGCCATCACTTCCTGGGATTAAAGGCGTGTGAGTCACCATGCCTAGCTGTTTCCAGTGTGACCTTGAACTCAGAGATCCAAGTGGATCTCTGCCTCTGGAATGCTAGGATTAAAGGCATGAGTGCCATCATTTTCTAGCCTCTGTATCTAGTGGCTGTTCTGTTCTCTGACCCCAGATAAGTTTATTAGGGTGCACAATATTTTGGGGAACACAATACTACCACAGATTACCATTTGTAGTAGTAAGGAGGAAGTGATTTTTGGTAAGGTTTATAGGGGTATAAGAAGGGATTGAATAATGTCTATGATAAAGTTTCAAAACTGAAAAGTCTCACACAAGGAAAATTATATCATGATTATTTGAGTTCTTTTTTCCCCTCCTAAATGAAATTTATCTATGGGAGCAGGAGACCATCTCATAGAAAGCATTTTGAACAAAATGTCAGATTTTTTTTTCTTTTTCATTTTCAGTTCAAAAGGACATAGTGCGGCTTCTCCCCAGTTTAGATGTTGAAGTCAAAGATATTACTGACTCTTATGATGCTAACTGGTTTCTTCAGTTGCTGTCTATAGAAGATCTTTTTGAAATGACCAGCAAAGAGTTTCCTGTAGTAGCTGAAGTCATCGAAGTGTCTCAAGGGAACCAACTGCCCCCAAGTATCTTACAGCCTGGAAAAACCATTGTGATCCACAAAAAGTACCAGGCTTCGAGGATCCTAGCTTCAGAAATTCGAAGCAATTTCCCTAAAAGACACTTCTTGATCCCCAGTAGCTACAAAGGCAAGTTCAAAAGGAGACCCCGGGAGTTCCCAACGGCCTATGACCTGCAGATATCTAAGACTGAGAAGGAAACTCTCCACGTGGTGGCCACCAAAGCCTTCCACACACTTCACAAAGAGCTGTCCTCTGTGTCTGTTGGGGACCAGTTCCTAGTGCATCATTCAGAGACCACAGAAGTCGTCTTTGAGGGAACAACAACAGTGAATGTTCTGGCCTGTGAAAAAATCCTCAATAAGTCCTATGAGGCAGCACGGCTTCCTCTGTACATGGAAGGAGGTTTTGTAGAGGTGATTCATGATAAGAAACAGTACCAACTTTCAGAGCTCTGTACACAGTTCCGCTGGCCCTTCAATGTGAAGGTGTCTGTGAGAGATCTCTTCATTAAAGATGACATTTTGGCAGCTACTCCAGGACTGCAGTTGGAGGAGGATATCACAGACTCTTACCTACTTGTCAGTGACTTTGCCAACCCCAGGGAATGTTGGGAAATTCCTATGGCCCGATTGAATATGACGGTTCAGTTAGTTAGTAGTAGTAATTTGTCTATGGATACAGGACCAACTGAAGTTAGGACTCTGGTAGAAGAGATCACTGAAGAACAATATTACATGATGAGGAGGTATGAAAGTTCTCTCTCACATCCCCCACCTCGCCCTCCCAAGCATCCCTCAGCAGAGGAAATGAAGTTAACCCTGCTCAGTTTCGCAGAAGAAAGAACAGGAGATCTACCCAAGTCTCCCAAGGTAAGACTGTGATTTCACAGATTTTTCTCTACTTGAGACAATAAGTTTCGAGTTGCTTCCGAGTTTGCCTTTTCCCTGCTTTCCTGTTTTTTCTACCAATTAGAAACAAGCCTGTGTAATGCATGCGGGATGAATGAACATCAACAGAGGAGAAACCGTTGCAGCATTTTGTACTCTGATGCTTCACCAGTAGATGTGGCATGAAATCTGTGTTGAGTTAGAAATAGAAGTGAAGACACTTGGCTATGACTGTGAAAGCTGCCATTCCAGTGGGTTTTGACAATTAAACGTGTTAAATCAATCAGATACCTCAGAAGAAATTCCCTTTTATTTTGGAAATGTGGCTCATTTTTCTTAGGTAGAATTATCTTAATACTTCACCCAGGAAATGAGCATACAATAAACTCCCATCATCTGGGGGCGGGTAGGAGTTTACTGGTAACATGCATCTCTTAACACATGTCTTCATTTTGTTTTATGTGCAGAAAGATGTAAAAATATCTTGGCAGAACTGTGTGTGAGAATGTGAGCATCTGCCCACATAAAGCCTCTTAGAATTGTAATCTTTAACAGTTCTACTGAAAAATAAAATCAATAAACCTAGAGGCACCACAGGATCTCTATGGAATTATCAAATCCACAACTGCTTAAGATGGTAGACCATAGTTCAGCATCATTTGTATTCGATGTCATTGAATCTTAAACACTGCCTGCTGGCTACCTGAACTGAGCTTGTCCTTGCCCAGGACATATGTGGATTTTTGTGTGTGTGGCTTAGGTTCTGTGGTATATGGAAGGAGTGTATTCTGTCCCAGCAGATGTTGTGCTAGAAGCACAAGGAAAACAAAACAGTAAAAGAGATACTTCCTGTGCATTCCTCATATTCAGGAACGATGGGAGCATTGAACATCAAGACTCATAGATGGATGTGGATATGCTTGCAGTTGCATATTTCAAAGACTGTTCTAATTGTATGCTAAAAGAATCCTTAAGGATCACCAAACTCATTTTCTTGAAGAAAAAAAAAAAAAGAAAAGATAAAACCAGCAAAAATTTTCTATCTGGAAGAATAATTTTTAAAAAATGACAAAACAAAACAGTTCCAAAATAAAACTGATTAGCTAAAGTGAAGGGTTTCTTTGATTCTTCTACTTTGATACTATCACTGGTGGTCAGGGTGTAGGCCTAGTGTTCCCAGCTTCTTGGCATCTTATTTCAAGAATAAAGAAAAAAAACTCACACATATTTGCAAGAGTAGCAAGAAAACAATATTCAAAGCAAAGCAATAGAACAGATAAAAAAAATACCCTTAGAAGTGATGGAGTGCCACATGAGTGAAGATATTCAAGGGCCCTGTTATTGTTTGGGGCTTTCATTTATTGGTTGTCAACTTGGCATACTTGGAAAGAAGGACACTCAACTGATGGAATGCCTCCATCTTATTGGCCTGTGAGGCATGCCTGTGGTGATTAGGGACATAGTTTGGGTGGTTGTCTACTTCAATGGACAAGCTTACATAGGCTTTGCTTACTGTGTATGACCCTTCTTAGCACGCATCTGATATTAATTATATATAGGCAGAAGGAGAATAGAATATTGCTAGCAGATTACTGTGTACATTGTTCATAGAAGTGTGTGTGTGTGTGTGTGTGTGTGTGTGTATAATATGTGTGGGTTAAAGGTCTCAGGTTGCCAAGTGCCTGATGTGTATGAGGGATGTATGTATAACCAAGCCAAGTAGAGTTCCAAGTGACTAAGCTATTTCCTATTCTTGCCTGCTTCAAAGTGGGAAATAGATGTTTTCCTATTTTTTTTTTGTCAGTGGGCAGTATAATATCACCCACCCAAAGACTAACTTTCCAGAACCTACCAGGATATAACAAGGCATGCCAAAAGAATTTTTCACATATGCTTAAAATCCTGGACCTCGCAATGAGATTATCCTGCAGTATCCAGATAGATCTACTTAAGCACTGAAGTCTGTGGTGATGTTTTGTTTGTGCTCTAACAAACAAAGCTTGCCTGAAGATCAGAGGGTGGAGCTAGCCAATAGTTAACCATAGAGGTCTGGAGGTCTTTACAGAGAGACAGGAAGTGATATGGTTAGGTGGAGAGAGGAATATAAGGTAGGAAGAGATAGGAGCTCAGCCTCTTTTTGGCTAAGGATTTCGTAGAGGTAAGAGCTAGTGGCTGGCTGCTCTGCCTCTCTGATCTTTCAGCTTTCATCCCATAATACATGACTCCAGGTTTTTATTATTAAGACCAATTAGAATTAGTGTTACAGAAGTCTTCACAAAGAACTTTTCCAGTGGAGGACAGCATTATGTGAGATGTGGTTAAAAAAGAATTCCCAAAGAGACAATGTTCCTGTTTTCAAAGAGAGAAGGAGGGAGTTGGGCACAAAGTGATATCTCCAAAGATAGAAAGTACAGACAAACAGGGTCTTCCCTAGATGGTCCAGAAAAAAACAGCTTAGCTGACAATATGCCAGTTTGACCCAATCAGATCTGGGTTGGACCTCTGACTTGCTGGACTCTAAGATAATAAAATTATGTTATTTAAAATAATAAATTTATAGTAACATTATAGCAAGAATAAAAAGACAAAATATGATTTAAAGATGTTTAGGGATTAATAAAAGCCTTGAATAGCTAAATCTCTGTATATGAGCTAGGCCACATACTGCTGGAAAGTGATTTGTTTGTTTGTTTGTGACAGTGATGCTGTATAACCCAGGCTAGCCTCAATCTCATGTTCTTCTTGCCATAGCCTCCTGAATAGCTAAGAGATTTGTACCACAAATAAACCACCTTCAAATCTATAACCCACCTTTCCCTCCCCTCCCTTTCTATCTCTTCCCCAACTGCTCCCCTTCTTTCCTCCCTCCCCCTCTCTTCCTTCCTCACCCTGTCATAGTTAGCTTTGGTTGTCACGTTGATATCCCTGGGAAGAATGACCCTCAGTTGATGGAATGCCTTCATCTGATTGGCCTTTGGGGTATTTTATTAACTGCTAATTGATATAGAAAGGTGCAGCCTACTGTGGGCTGTACCATTTCTAAATAAGGGGTCTGGTGCTATGTAAGAAAGGGAGCTCAAGAAGTAAGAGAAAGTAAGCCTGTAGACAGCAGTGCTCCATGGACTCTGCTTTACTTCCTGCCTTCAGGTTCCTGCCGTGAGCTCCTGTCTTGGTTTCTCTTCATGATGGACTATAACCTGTAAGCCAGATAATACCTCCTAGTTGCTTTTGATCAATGTTTATCACACTAACAGAAGCAAACCAGAATACCCCTTTTCTTTATTTTCTACCTTTTAAATCAATTTTATCGGCTCTTGTGCCCATGGGGAACCTGAGGGCACAACTAAGCTTTAGAACCAGTGGGAGCAGGGATCTTGACAATAGCTAGAGTAATATTTGTTTTTCTTTTTCTATTGGTTTTACTTTCTCCAGCTAGTTTTGTTCGCACACATCACAGGACTTCTAAGAGTTCCTGCGTCATATATTTCAGTTTCAATACTAGAAAAGAATGCTGTCTCATTATCTAGACTGAATTGAAAAAGAGAAAAGACATAAGTTGGACTGACTCAGCCAGTTTACTGGTTGCCTCAACTATAGGCCAAGTTGACGAATGTTTTAGTCTTAAATCCATGACTAGAAGACTTACAAAGAAAACAAATATTCTGGTCTTAGAATTCTGGAGGCTAGGAAGTGCAGCATCAAGTTGCTATTGAGTTTATTCTCCAGTTCCAAGATGGAATCTTGTTCCTGCATCCTCCAGAAAGAAGAGCACCATTTCCTCATAAACTAGAAATTCGGAAGAGGGGAAATTCATCCCTCAAGACTTTTAATAATAAAGTTCTTAAGTACACTTTTGCATGGCTGTATCTTTTGACCTAAGCTCTTTCAATCCATCCCACCTCCTCCTACTATTGCATTAGTGTGAAGTTGCTAGCATGAGCTTTGAAAGAGACAAAAAGCATCCAAACAAACCAAAGCAGTAAAGAAGGCTATCAGGTCTGGCTACCTCAAAAACTAGAGGCAAAAAGTTAAGGTGATATAAAATAACAGATGTCTTCTACCTTCCCAAAATTAAAGATTTAAAAATCCTAAACCAAGAAAACATTCATAGACTAAAGTAGATTAAAATTTTTTAAAATATCTTCTAAAGGTAGAAAATGATTTAGGTGTTTTGTTAGGAGAAAAGTACTTATCTCATGTACTAAAATGACTAAATTGATGTATGCTGATTTCAAGATCTACATAGTAATTTGTTGTTCTCTAACTAGATCCAGGTGAGTTCATGGTGTTGAGACCTGAATCCCGCTCTGAACAATGATGGCTTGGGGTTGGTAAGGAGTTATGAAGTTCTAGAACTACTTTTATTTGAGGAACAAGAGCTGAGTGACAGCTTAAATTTGAAAGACGACACTAGGTGGTATTAGTTATGGTATACATTTAAAGAGCTATTAAAAGCTGGAGAGATGAGACACACCTGTCATTGTATCACTTGGGAGGTAGAGACAGAAGGGTTTCCCTAGACCAGCCTAGGCTGTACAGGGAAATCCCTTCTCAAGATCAACAAATAAAAACAAGTAACTCTTATGTAGCAAGTACAGACTCAGTTCTAATATCTCCAACTTTGGTTGAGCTGAAAGGATTTGATGCAATCCTGTTGTGACAGACTGCATGTGCTAAAAAAAAAAAAAGTTAGAGCAGAAGATAGGGATGTTGTTTGTTTTTGCTCTTTTGTGTGGGGATGCCACCCAGCTCCCAAATAAATCACACATGGAGGCTTATTCTTAATTATGAATGTCCGTCCTTCGCTTGGCTTAGTTTCTAGCCAGCTTTCCTTAACTTAAATTGTCCCATCTACCTTTTGCTTCTGGGCTTTTCCCATTCTCTTACTTCTGTAAATCTTACTCTTACTCCATGGCTTGCTGTGTAGTTGGGTGGCTGACCCCTGGAGTCTTCCTCCTTCTCTGGCTCCTTGATTTTTTCCC